TGCTCCCCGATATATGGAGTACCCCAGGACCGGGCTCCCCTTCACTGTCCTGCCCCTCGGTGCGTGGGGCATCCTCGCTGCAGGCGTAAGGAAGGCTGGCTCCCAAAGGATCTCTGCACCTGAAAGCTGGAAATGATGGTGAGACCCACAGTGGTTCACACTCCCCTGTAATGGCTTGTATAGGGGGAAAAAAAAAACCACACAAGTGAGTTTTTATTAATAAAGTACAACAGTGGATGTACAGCAGGAGAGATACCTGGGCATCTTAAGACCAGCTTGCCATGGGGGATCTCCTGCCCTGTCCATATCTGAGAGACAAGTCAAGGGCTCTCAGAGGAGATCACAGAGTCAACGTCGCCTTCCCTATCCTCTCCTGGGGGTTGAGAGGAGCAAGGGGGGGAGGTAAATAAAGTGTAATTCCTGGCTGAGCCCAGCCAGCGGGCAGAAAGCAAAGTGTAAAGAAGTGGGAGAAAGCACAGCAGGGCCATGGGGGCAGCCGGAGGGGCTGGCAGCCTCACCAATGGTCCTGTCTGCCAGGATCTCCTCCAGGTCTTCCTGCTGCCTGGAAAGCTTGGTGATGTGCTGTACACAGGAGGGCTTGGAAGCTTTTGTAGCACTGACCAAGCAATGCTCTTCCCACTCCTCTTCTCAAAAGAGCAGTAGTCTCTCTCCTACCTTCCAAATTTCAGCCCACGCACAGACATCAGGAAAAAATCTGATTGTGCAAAGCAATGTTGGTATGAGGAGGTGGGACCAGCCATGCCCCAGTGTAGGTCTATACTCGCAGGCACTCGCTGAAACATCTCTTCATTTCCTCCTGGTGCTGTACAAACCATCACCAACTTTTGCAAAGCTCAGACAAGCACAGCCTCCCTCCCTCCCTCCCTCCTTCAGGCTTAGAAGGACACATGCCATGGAGAGAGCTGCTGCTGGCCATGCCGGCAGCCACAGGTTCCCCAAACAAGCACCATCGAAAGTGGGCTGCAGACATGCAAAACTCACACACGCTTCTGTGTCACCAGTTTGCAACAAATGCAGTCGCAGCCCAGGCTGAGGCACCATGAAAACGCTCATGGAAGCAGAAACTAGGTTTTGTCTAACCAGACCCTCCTGAGACAGCTCCTCTGGAAACCTGAAAAGAAGGATGTGCTAGATAATATAAAAATGCTTAAATGCAAAGCACGGTTCTATCACCCAGCTAGCTCCAGTTGTCCCTGCAGAAAATGCTATTGATACCATTTACTTTCTGCATCAGTAGAGAGAAGATGGGTCTCCCCAGGGCAGTTGCTGCTGCATCTCTTCTTCGTGCTTCTCGGTGCATTTGGAGCTCCAGTGCTTTCCGACAAACCCAAGATTCATGGGAGGGTGCCACTCACCACCACCTCATTTTTGGGGACATCTCCCCAAGGCAAGCACCACTGCTGGGCACCACGCCTGGCCTCGGCGCACCCACCAGCAGATCGGACACGTCGGGACCTGCATGGGCAGAGCTGCACCTCACCCCACTGGAGCAGGCAGTGCCACCGAGGACCGTACTTCCCAGAGACCTCCTTCCCTTGGTGGTTATTCAGCTACCGGGCTGTAAGATGAACAGCAGGAGGAGAACAATGGAAAAAGGAGCCCTGCCCAGCCTGCGTGCCCCCGGCGTGCACCCCCTGCTACAGCCACTGCTTTTCACGCGTGGCAGGAGCAGCCCAGCCCATTACCCCATGGCGTGGAGTAGACGTTAATTAATATATTTCAGTTTATCTTTGATCACATAGACCTCAAGATCTCGCTTCTGAGTTGTTTCTGGCTTTGAGATAGACCATTTCTAACACGGAGTTTTTGCTGTTCACCTTTGAAAGAAGACAAAAGTTGTATTCCTAGTTGGTGCAGACCAGGATTGTCTCCTGGTTGTGGTAGGGATTAGCTGCTCTACAGCCATGGAAGCACCAGGATAATGTGGTTTGATCTTGAAATATATTTGAACCACCTGTATGCACCACTCAACTTGATGTCATTATTGTTAGGTGAAAGTGCGTTAGATCAACCTAACCGATTTCTTACAGCGGGCTTTCAGGGAAAGTTTCATTCAGCCATCCAGCAGAGCCAGCCGGGCCAGTTCTGCCTTTGGACTTGTCTCACTGGCCATCTGCTCTGGCTGTGGGTGTCACACGGGGCACGCCGTGTCCTCGCGTGGCTGCCGGCACCCGTGCCGAGGAGCTGCACAGCCAGGAGCTGCAGGGAGCACCAGAGGAACCTGGCTGCCAGATGCTCCCAAATCCTCTCAGCTCCCACTCCCCACAGGATTTTGGAGCTGCGGCGAGCGAGGCTCAGCCCCAGCACGGCCATGGACTGGTTTGGGGTGCTGGCTGTTTGGGAGGGCTTGTCCTCCTCCCAGTGCCGGTGGGTGCATGAGAAGCGGCCGTTAGAGGGGATAAACTTTTAATATTTCTCTCCCCATGGCCCTGCAGACATCCGTGACCCTGGTAGAAGGACCCTGGCTGGCAGTGTGGACCAGCCCCCGTGGGGGCACACATGGCCCCAACCCACCCTGAGAGAAGGGGCTCTGCCACAGGCACGGGTCCCCAGTTTGCCCTCCCATGTCACCCACAGTACCAGCAGCACAGGGATCTCCACCAGACAGAGACGAATGTTTACTAAAAGTGCTGTATTTACAGGCCAGTATTAATTTGTACTCTTGTTATTTACAATTTATTTACAATTAATCCCTATAGTCACTGACAGTTGAATCTGGCACAGTTAGACAGAACTGTACAGCAGACTGGCAAGGCAGAATAGCTGGAGCTTCTCTTCTCTTCCCTTTTCAGCCCTGCTGAGGGAAGGGCTTTAGTGATTTTTCTTCCCCTGGACAACAAAGACCTTGCCTGTTAATCAGTAATCATGGGAGCAGAGGTGACTCACGTTCTGCTGCTGAACACCATTCAAGTCCTAATGCTGTTGCAGCCGTGAAGGGAAAACTGCTGCACTCCTGACTTCATGTAAAGTGTTTCCAGGGCTGACGGCTGGTTTCCCTGCACAGGCACCCAGATGGAGCCGGGCAGCATGAGCCTTCCAGCACATCCCAGTCCCTGCGACAGCCTGGCTCTGCCAGACATGGTGTGCATTGCAGACAGGTTGTGTTGGGATGCGCATGCTGCTCGTTCTCCCTTCTCAGGGCTGAGCTGAGCACAGATCAGGGACCGCCTGGGGCTGCAGGGTGCCAGGCTGTCAGTGACACGGGAGGATTTTGCATCACCTGCAGGTCACCACTGTCCCTCCTGGGAGGATGGCAGGATCAGGAGGAACGACCTGGGGATGGAACCTCCAGCAGCCTCCACCACCAGCTGCCATTGAACTAAGCCTTTGCTGACAGGCTGCAAGGATGCACAGACAACACGGGCATCACCCTCCTCCACCGTGCGAGGGGGTTCCCGACAGCCCTGCCAGGTGTGGCTGGGGGCCAGGGGAAGCTCTTCTGCAGACCATCCGTGACTGCCCTCCCACCTTCACCAGCAGGAGATGAGACTGGTCCAGGTAGCAGCCAGGGACTGAATGAGGGGCCGAGTCAGCCCCTGACCTACGAAGACAGCTTTGGGCATAGGCCAATTCAAGAGACAGGCTTTTCCCCTGGGATGTTTGCTCCGATCTTCCTCTCTTCCACAGACTCGGTCGGGTTCAGACCGAATCTTCCACAGAATACTAACACGGGGTCGGCAAGTGGCTGGCTATTCGCTTTTCAGACGGGTTTGCAGCCCGGCTGCCAGAGAGGCGTCTTACAAAGGGACTTTTGGCTCGCTCCTGCGGATCCCTGGTTTTCAAGCCACGCAGAGCACAACGATGCTGTTCATGCCCCAGGACCCATTGCCCAGGACTGGCAGCCCTGGCCAAGCACCTCAGAAGCCCTGTATGAGCGTCGGTCCCACTGCCACTGCGATCTGGGGTCCCCTGGGACCACACATATCCCCTGGGACATGCCTTCCTGCTCAGGGGACGATGGCGGACTGCTGCTTCCTCTGCTCCTGCCTCACCTTCAGGGCCAGCATTGCCCGGCGGTACAAGTCTGGGAGGAAGGGAACCGGTCAGGCACTAACACTGGGGCCAGCTCCGGGGTCCAGCCTGGCAGCCTGCGCTGAGCGAGGACTGCAAGGACACCCCGGGGTCCAGCACGGTGCACTCGCGTGGCCTCCCCGCATCCCACCCAAAGGCAGCAGCAGCAGCATCTGCCTCCCCAACAGCCCCCACCTTGCCCTGCAGCCGCACGGGTTTGTGCCCATGTCCCCACACCAAGCACCCCATGGCCAAGGGCTCCTGCACAGCTCACACCCCGCTGCCAGCAGGCCAGACCCCCTGACCCTTTTCAGCAAAACCTGTCCTGGGAAACACCAACCAAAGGTGCTTGAGACCTCCTCACGCTGCGGCTCCACAGCAGGTTCCTGTAACTTGATTTTATTCTTGATTTTCTTCTTCTTTTTCTTTTTCGTTCCCTGCACTGGATGGAGAAATATGAAATTTCAGGCACCACATCTGAGCAAGGGTGCATTTGTCACCAAACCAGCTGAGAGGACTGCTGCTGGCGGATCCACAGTCCTCCATCCCATGCATCAGCCCCTGTGGAGATGCTCAGAGATGTCTCTCCTCTTCTCTGGCCGAACTCCTGGGACCCTGCTCTGCGCTCAGCTGATCTGCAAGCAAAGCTAATGGAGGTGGCGGGGACCAGTGGTCCAGCACACTGCCGTGTTGCCAAATCCCAAAACCAACCCGGTAGGGTGTCTCAGGGGGTCCTGGTACCCGTGGTGCCAGCAGCCCCCCACGGCCCCCTCTCACCTGGGTGGGGGGTGGCCATCCCAGTGGGCGCGGGCTCCCCCTGCCCGACCTTGTTGGGGGGCAGCAGCCCCCCCGCAGCCCCCGCTCGGCTGTCACCCCCTCCTCCTGGTGCCTCTGGTTCCTCGGCTGGACTTGGCTGCCCCGAGCCCTTCTTCCTCACCTTCCCCTTCCTCTTCCTCCTCCCAGGAGCCTTAGTGCTCTCCTCCTGGGCAGGATACGGGGGATGAAGGGAAGGTGGTGGGACCCCCCTTTTCCATCCCGTCCCATCCCAGGTTGAGGGGGCAACCTCGCTCACCACGGGGAGAAGGCGGCGGATGGGCCGCAGCGGCCGGTACTCCCCCGTCTTCCCCGTACTGTCTCGGGCATCCTCCCCCGTGGGCAGTGGGTCCCTGGTGGGGCGAGAACACGGCGCGGGGATGGGGACGAGCCCCGCGGGGTGGGGAAACACGGGGACACGCACGGACCGAGTCCCGCACCCACCTGCGGGCGGGTGGGCAGCCGCGGGATGCCCTTGGACCGGGACTGGGCAGTGGTACCGGGGCGGTGGGGATGGTGCGGAGGAGCCAGCGCAGCCCCTGTAGGGTGGCACGACCCGGACCGGCGGGGGGAGCCCGGTTGGCAGCGCAGGGCTCCTGCGGGTGGATGGGCAAGGTCAGCCCCGGAGGGGAACGGGGTGGAGGGGAGCGGGGGGAAGAGAACCCCTGCACTCACGATGCGGCAGGGCGAGCGGTTCTCGTTGACCAGCCGCTCCAGGGAAAGGCGCTCGATCAGCTCGCAGGGCAGTAGGGCGGTCGTCGAGTCCTGTTTGTTGGCCAGCCTGGGGGACGGGGAGGATGCAGAGCGGCCATCACCCTGGCCTCTGGGTGCCTCGCCGCACGAGAGTGGGGGAGGCTGGATGCTTTGTCCCCGTTTGGCTTTGCCCCAGCCCTTACCCTGCTCTGGAGCCCCCTCCTCAGCCCCTTTCCAGGGATGGTCCCAGCTCTGGAGCAGCACTGGGGTCCCCATGTCCCAGCACCCCCCGACAGCCCCCTTGGTGCCACATCCCCGCAGGAGCCCGGCCACGCACCCCACAACCCCAGCAACGGGTTCTCACTCCCCCCCTCACCCCAAACCCTACAGGTCGCACCCTGGGGACTCGGCCTTACAGTAAGAGGGGCTTCCCAGAGACGTCAGGATGGCTCAGGACGCGGCTCAGGACCTTGCGGGCCTCCTCTATCCGCGCCAGGTCACTGGAGTCCAGGACGAAGAGGAACCCGTGGGCCGCGCTGTAGTGGTTGCGCCAGGCACTGCGGGAGCGCTGGCCCCCGGGCAGGTCCACCAGTGTCACCTCGAACCTGTCCACCCGCAGGCAGGTCTGGCCGGGCTGCACGGCGGGCAGCACCTCGCCGGCCAGCGCTGCGCGCGGGGAGAGGGCAGAGAGCTGGCATGGCGAGCCCGGGAGCATCCCTGCCTCCTCCTCCCCTGGACACTTCCCTGCCTCCACTACCAGGGCTGCCCAGTGCCTTGCACATTTCCCCCAGCCCAGCAGCTGTATTTCAAGGGTCTCGGTCCTTCAAGGCTCAGGCGCTTGGTTGCAGATGCCCGTGAAGCTGCTGCCTCCGGCCGAGGCCGGCATCGGGGCTGCGCTGTTCCTCACCTCTCTCTATGTCCATAATGATGGAGGTTTTTCCCACATTGTCCAGCCCCACGACGAGGAGGGTCACCTTCCTGAGGAGGGACAACAGCGGGTGAGCATCCCAGAGAAAGGCTGTGCTCTCTGGGGAGGGTTGACCGCTACTGGCCCCTGGACTGGCAGGCAAGGGACCCTGCCCATGGCAGCTGCTCTTCAACCAGGAGAGGGGCAGGACGGTGACACAGGCTCCGGCTGAGCTGGGGGAGAGGGGCAGGACGGTGACACAGGCTCCGGCTGAGCTGGGGGCGAGGGCAGGGACAGTCCCCGGTGCCTGGGAGAGGGCGAGGGCAGGCACAGGCTCCTGGAGCCACCCCGGCACTGCGGGACAGCCACGCTGCGGGACCTTCAATGTGCTTCCCACGGCAAGCATTCCTTTTCAAATCATACAGCATCAAGCAAGGATATGCACAGGCCAAAAAGGTTGTTTCTTATATGCAAACAGTTAATGATTGCTCTCGGTGTCCTTCCTTGTCAGTGAGTTATGGGTATACACTGCTAGGGAGAGGTAGCAAGGATGTTTTATGAGCTTCTGCTTGGACTCAGGAGGTTTTTCCTGTTGCTAAACAATCCTATTTGGTCTCCAGCCATGTGCTCCACCAGAGCCACAGGCAGAATGTTTTCCCTGTGGCTGACAAGCCACAGTAGTCATTCGCAGTGTCTTTTTCTTCCTTAAACATGCAGACCAGGCTGCGTGGGCAGCGTGGCTCCACCTCTGGCATTATGGCAATCTCGCGGATGGGAGAGGACCATAAACCCCCTCACTGCCCGCAGTGTCTGCCCAGGCTGGTGCAATGCCATCCCCAGGGAATTAACCCAGGTCTCCCGACACATGGGAACATGGCAAGTGTTTCACTTTGTCCTCCCCAGATTTCTTGGGGAGCTGCTGACTTTGCATAGGGGGAATCCTGCTGGGAGCGCTCCCCACATGCACACCCCTGCCCATCCTGCTCCCCTGCCTGCCCAGCTCCTGCCTGCTGCAGGGACAGCGAGGACACGCGTGTGCCTTGCTCCACGGTTTGGGGACGGTTCATGCAATGGGCACCGCTCTCACAGTGTTACCGCACGGGTGCCCTCACTGATAAATGCGCAGGTAGATGTTGTACCCCCACCGAGGACCCCCAAAGAGTGGGCACCGGGACCTACCTGACAGGCTCCTGTATGGTCTGCAGCCACGACCAGCAGTGGGAGAAGAGGTGGAACATGCTCGGCAGCTCTGCGTGGAGGGATGGCGTCTCTTTGGCACCTACGAAGCGAGCAGCCCGGCATGTCCCCGTGCTTCGTCCTCCTGCCTATGCTTTCTCCCCATGGCGGGGAGCATCTCACCCCTGGGTGCCCCGTCCCACGGCCCATCACTGCTGCCTCCAGCCCAGCACACACAAGCCAAGCCTGGGGACAAACCCCAGCCCCCCGGGCAATACCCCACGGGCACGGACCCCCTGGCCTGCCCCTGCCCCGGCAGCCCCTTCTCGCGTCACAGGAGTGCCAATCGGCCTCTCACCCGCTCGTTCCTGCCTCGCAGCCCCTGCTCACATCCCCTTTGCGTAGCAGCTGCTTAAATCTAATCTGGATTTAAATTACTTACTCCTTGCAGCCTCCTTAATCCCGGTGGGTCGGGCCAGGCCGGTGGCTGCTGGGACATGGAGTGCCGCACGGCTGCCTGCCGCGCTGGGCGGCACAGCATGGCACTGCATTACCCACCCGGCTGCACCCAGGCTGGGCAGCCTCACGCTTCCATCGCTGGCTTAAATGGCTTGTGGTGGGGACATCGCCTGACAGCCCACGTGGGGTTTCCAGCTGAATCAGTGTCTCCTCTAACGAACGGCGTCCCTGCATGGTTGTTTCCCTGCGGCCCCTGCAAGGAGCAGCCCCTGCACGGTGTGCGTGGCTCTGCCGACCACCCGGGGGTCCCCTCTGTGCCAGGCTGGGGGACGTCACTGCTCACTGCTTGTATTTCACGCCCTAACGAGGCACCCCCCGAGCAGCAGCAGGTCCTGGGCCACTCAGAATAAAAATACCAACCAGCCCAAGCTGGTGCCAGGCTGGGAGCAGGGCAGTGGTGGGGACCCTTTGATGGCGGGGCAGGGATTGGAACCAAAAAAGCCCGACTCCTTGATCTGCAACTCCAAAGCTCTTATCTTGCTCCTCAGGTTTCCTGCTGCTTTCCCCAGCCGGGGCTGCCCTCCCTGGCACGCTGCCGCTGTTTGTGGAGGAGAAGAGGCCACACAGAGATATCTGAGCCACAGAAGCTTTGGGTGGGGGGAGTGGGGTCCGGAGGGTCGAGGCCATGAGACCCTCCAAAAGCCAGCAGGGATCCCACTGCCTCGCATCGGTCCGTGCTAAACCACGGCAGCGCTACCTCGACCACCTGAGCCCCAGCCATTTTGCCGAGGACGCCAAGATGCCACCAGGCATCCCACAGCTCTGGGATGGCCCAAGGCGGGCGAGCCCAGGCTGGGCACGGTCCCGCACTCCACCAGGAAGCTCGGTGCCCATCCCTGGGTAAGGGAGGTGCCCCAGAGCCGTGCCGTGGGCCGGGAGCCACGCGTGGTTAATGATTGATGGAGGAAGTTTCCGTACGGATATGACGGCCATATACAACAATATTTGGGGCGACTGTTCACCCCCATGCCGCTGGTGGTGGGGCAGCGGCTGCACTTCAGCTTCCTTAGCCTGGCCCAGGTACAGAGCCCCGTCCCCAGCCTGATGGCCTTTCCCAGTTGCTCCCGTGCCTGCATCTCGCCGGGACCAGTGGCAGCACCAGGTTTGCAGGCAGCATGGGGCTGGGGAGTGTTTTGCAGAATTAGCCGTACCAGGGCTGAAATGACCTGCTGGAAGCGTCAGCGCCTGCCTCTGTGCCTCGGGGTGGCACTGCCAGGGGACGGCCGGGCAGGGCACATGAAGAGGCACGACCATGGGTGCTATAAATAGGGAAGCACCGTGCGGCAGGCAGCCCTGGAGGCAGTGGCACAGCATCCCCCAGGGGCAGCAAGATCTGGTCTCACTCCGGCACTGATGGATTTCCAGAGGTCTCTGAGCACTTGGGGCTCTGCTGCTTTTAACACAAGTGTCCAAACTCCCCAGCCAAACCGGCGCTGGGGACCGGGAAACCCTCAGGGAGCCTGGGGCAGCTCCAGGTCACCCCTCCTGATGCGCCCACACCGTGCTCAACAGCCAGGAAAACCTCAAAATCCACCCCAGATCTGGTGAAACCCACGCTGGACTAGAGAGGCGGCGCGAGGGCCAAGCCCAGATCGACGGGTGTTTTGCCGGGCCTGGGCTCAGATTACCGAGCGGGCAGCTGGCCCTTCGCCCGCGCAGCCGGCCGGCCGGGGTGCAACCGCAGCCCCTCTGCCAGCATTTGCGGGGACCCCCCCTGGGCAGTGCCAGCGGGGACCCGCAGCAGCCGTCCGGGTTTCCTTGGTGACTGTTGCCAGGTGAGAAACTCTAAGGCAGAATTTATTATCTTGGCGGATAACTGGAGATGTTCCTCACCGGAGCTGTTACCGGACCGTGCCCCGGCACTGTGCCGGGCTGGACCCTCTAGTGTTGGCGGTGCCAGCGGGAGCCCCCGAGGGAAGGCTGTGCCCGGGGCACAGGGGCTGCTCGGCCCCTGGCATCGCTTCCCGGAAGGCGGCACGTGTTTTGGGGCTATTTCTGCCTGCTGGAGTGTTGCAGGCAAGGGAAGGAGGCGAAACCAGAGGGACTGCGGAGAAGCGCAGATGGACGTGGGCTGGCGGGCTGCCCTGCCTTGGCTTCCCTAGACCCCGTGAGTATGTGCCCGAGCCAGCACTGGGCACACCGGGAACCCCCCGCCTGGGACCCCCAGTGTGAGGAGCAGAGTCGGGGGGGAGGCAGTGGCAGGGCTGGGGAGCTTGCACATGGGGAGTGACAGCTTGCAAGGGAAAGCAGTGGCCAGCGCAGAGCTATAAGGGCTGCCTATAGCATTGACCGAGAGCCTGGAGCTGGGGTGGCACCAAAACCGAGGTGACGGCACGGACCAAAAAGTCCCGGTGGAAATATTTGCAAGCTGTCCTGCTTTGCTTAGAACCGCATCGTCTCTGACCAAAAAGGCATTCACAGCAGGGCGAGGACATGCACAGGCTTTGGGGAGGGACTCGTCTTTCTATTTAACGCATCGGACGACGGCAGCAGCACACCGAGGTGGCAGATATGCAAATACCCGCATCGTCCCTTTAAATCCACGGCTCTGGTGGCTAACGATAACCCCGGATCATACAAGCTCCTAAATCCCAAGAGCTAATTACAGGCAAACGCCCTGCGGTCAGGCTGGAAATGCAGGATGATTACAGCCTGTGCCACGGAGACCTGTTGGTGATGAATGGGGGCACTGGGGGTGTTTGCTGGCAGGCTGGCGTGGCGGTGGGGACCGTGGCCGGTTTGCACGGTGGCCTCTGTGCCAGCACTTTACTTTGTGCTGGCGCGGAGGCCACGATGGAAACCGGCTGCGCTCCGCGCCACCAGGCCAGCAACCATTTTGCAAGCTATTTTGGGTAAGTGATGTTGTTTTTCTGGAGCACTCTTTGCTCCCCCGCTGCCGGTACTACCACCCTGCGGTGGATGCAGAAGCAGGGGAGGAAGCGTGCAGGGAGCTGGTTGCTTTTCACCCAATTTCTGGCCGGGTAGTTCCCAGCTAGAGAACACACGAATTCCCAGGAGAGGCTTGGATTTAAGCGCAAGCTTCTCTGCCGGGGTTTGCTCTGCTCCCTGCTGCACAGGGAAGGGGCCAGCTTGCTCTTGTGCCTTGCACACAGCTCAGTGATGCCCCTGAGATGGCTAAAAGTTCTCCCCAGACTCCTACAGTGGTTTTGCTGAAAGCATTACAGCGCTCCTCTTGCTTTGCTGCAGCAAAGCATGGGGGAAAGGAGCGTGTAAACCATTCCTTCTGCCTGCCAGGACGCCCGGGCACGCGCAGTTACAGCCTGCCTGGGTTAGCACGCTGCCAGGGCTGTATACTCTTACAGCAGGTAGGACTGGGGGAATCAGTTAATTAGAAGTAATTTTAACCCTTCCTGCCTGGTTTAGTGTTAGAGCATCACCCGCTGCCTAAGCTGGGACTGTAGCCAAGGAGGCATGACTTCAAAATGTGTAATTATCGCAAAGACCTATAAATGCACCCGAAGAAGGTAACTCTGTTTTCTTGTTAAAGAATTTAAGCCGTGAGGCAGCCGTGGCATGGCTCGTGCCGGAGGAACACCCTGGCTCTGGCAGCACTGAGCCCAGCAGTGGGCTCAGCACAGCCTCCAGCCTGCAGTGAGATTTAGGGGGATGAGGTCCTCAGGGCAGAGACAGGTTTTTCTCCCAGCAGGATAAGGAAACAAAGCTGGACAAGGAAATGGAGCGGCAAAAGCAGTCGCATGATGAAGCAAATGGAAAAAATATTTCCCCAACCAGAAACTATTCCACAGACTGCCGGGGCAGGAAAAAATACAGCTGAGTTATTGAGAAAGCAATGCAAAATCCAAACAGTTTAGGCTATGAAAACCAGTCATTTGCAAAGCTATTTCCAAACTAAGTAAAAAGTTCCCAGCTCACAGATTCCTGGGAACCCCCCCAGCCACCAGCCCTGCTGCTCACTGCATGTCAAGCTGGGGAACACTCTGTGATTTCCACTTCATCCAGCACACGGGGGCTTTTTGGGGATCAACACATCCCCACCATCCCTCCGTGTGGCACCAGCTGAATGTTTAATCCTCAGCACAAAGTGGGGAGATATCAGATCCAAAAGGGCAGCAGGGAGGGAGCACGGCCATGCCTGCACCCCGAGCGGCTGCTTCCACCTCTGTGTGCAGGGCTATATTTGGGAAGCCGGCAGCATGTGCTTGACATGTCCCAGCGAGCAATCTGGGAGCGATGTCTGCTCCGGGTCCTAGTGCAGTGGCAGTGCCCTGGGAAAAGGAGAAGGAGAAGAGAGCTTAGCTTGCGGGAGCTTGCCGGCAGCACTCCCCACCAAGGCTCTTTAAGGGCTTTGACAAGGAGCTCCCTGCCATTTCCAAACAGCTTTGCTCTTCTCCTTTTATAGGAGCCGAGCCGTCAGGCAGGCGTGTGTAAAGCACACATGGCTATTTTCAGAGTGAGAGCTGGTGAGGGAGCTTGCTCCCACCCCACGTACGGCCCGGGCTCTCACACACAAATGCCCTCGCGGCATGCAAGGGGCTGGAAAAACTGCACAGCAAATTCCCCATTTCACACGGCGGGCAGCCGCCACTGCCACGGCCCTGTGTTCGAAGTGCGTTGTGTGAACACTGGGATTAAAAAACATAATGAAGGCTGGGATTAAGAAAATAATGAAGCTGGGAAGCTCTCCAGGACAGGGCAGGCATTTGTGGGAATAGGAGAACTGACATCCGCACGTGGTGGCAGGACTTGGACCGGTGTCTTGGGCATCCCCGGGTGGGGGAAGACCCCTGAATGCTGGTGCCTGCAGCAGGGCACAGGGCAGGGACTTGGCCGGCACCGTGCCACCCTTGTGCGGGGAAAACAGTGTTTTCTCCTTTCCTCTGCCTTTTGCTCCTATTCCAGCTCCTGACAGTGAGGTCTGCAAAACACATGAGCTTCTAGGTCCTGCTGTAACATAAGTAACCCGCAAACCATCTAAACCCCCTCACTTTCTTAAGTGGTCCTAGAGATGCCAGCACAGTCCCCCTCTGTTTGGCACCTTGGGTTTTACCCTGACGGGCGCTTCCATGGCAGCTTCGCATCATGTTGGTGGTCATTTCACCGACCCAGACCACAGCTCCACAGCCCGGGGGCTGCTCCGCTCCTGGGAGGGCTCCAAGCGAGGCCAGCCAGCAGCCACCCGCTCCGCTGGCCCAGGATCTGCCCACCTCACATGGGAACACCTGGGTGGGATGTCCCCAGCATCCAGGCAGTCCGTCCCGGCTTGCCGCAGCTCTGGGTCAGCCGGCGGCTCTGGGGCTGTCACAGGGTGTCTGTGCAGCCCAAGCGGCGCTGGGTTTGCAGGCAGAGGCGCAGGCGTCGAGCCGGCAGGCACAGGGAGTGGCAGAGGCAGCGGGGGCAGGATGGCTCGGCGATGCTCTCTGTGACAGATTGTTTTTATGGTCTGCTGTTTACAGTGCTGAGCTGCGGACAGGTAGGGTTAGGCTTGAGGGGTGACTCACAGCATGAATGAGAAAACAGCCCGCTGCCTCTCCGTGCTTGGGTCGGAAAATGGGATAATAACTGGTGTGGGAAGCGCTGTGAGGCTTCGTCCCTCCGTTCCCCTGATGGCTGCTGGTGCTCCTGGACGCAGGACTGGAATTCTTGACTGCTTAAACAATCGCTCTTACGTATTTCATCATGAAGCAGGAGAAGATGAAATTAAAAGTATGATGAGTCAGAGCCCAGGCATTGCTCAGCCGAGGGCTTGGTGACCTGCCAGACTCCTGGGGGATGCTTTTAATTTGGATAAATGGAAGTTGCATAAATGGTATAAATTGCACGTTGCTCTTGCTGCTAATACAGAGGTGTGGGCGCAGTTGGCAGCGCCGAGCGATGCGCCGTTGCCGGCTGAGCGCCCGGCCAGGCTGCGTGCCGGGGCCGGCGCAGCTGCTGCCCGTGCACAGCTCCCACCCCGGGTGTCCGCAGGAGCCACCCGGCTGGCGGACAGGCTCCTTCGCTTGGACGCTGTTCCCTTTGCTCTCTGCCCTGCTAGGGTTTTTTTTGGAGAGGCTGTTTTCCAAAAACAGCCTGAAAATATGTAACTCTCATACCAGAGCTGAGCGGTCACACGTAGGTCTCCCGTCCCTGCCGGTCAGGCCAGTCCCTGTGAGCTCATGGTGTTTGTGGTTTCCCAAAGCAGTTGTTCGGTGTTGGATGGAAAAGTGCTGAGCAGCTGCAGACAGTGATTGCTTCTGTGTGGAGCTGCTGTCGGGGGAGACGCGGCCTCCAAGGTCTCAGGCGGTTTTACTCCCAGCTCTGCTGCTGATAAGCCCGATAGCCCTGGTAATGCTTCAATCCTGGTAAAACGGGGGAGACTCTGGTGCGTGGGGCTTGGGGGCTTTCATGCTTTTGGCTTGCACAGGGCTGGGCAGGTGATGGACACAGCGTCCCTGCCATTAGCCTGGGCACCTCCTTGCGAGCTGGCCTGGCTGCCAAGAGATGAACACTGAGTGCCTTTTAAAAGTTACCTAAGACTTCCCGGTCTGCCTAAACCAGGGAAAATTGGCCGACCTCAAGCACTCCGTGCCTTGTCCCAGCTCTCCCAGCCAGCCAGCGTGTGCCCAGGCTGGACTGAGTAATCTGGCAGGCAGTGTGCAGTCGGGCGAGACGGCGTGCGTGCATCAGCGTGCCGGCAGCTGCCTGCACTCACACCACCGATTTTGGGGGACAGGCAGGCAGGGCTGGTGCTGGGGGTCACCGCGCGTGCCGGGCAGAGCAGGGACCCCCACGGCCGTCGATGCGGGGAGCAGCCCAGCCAGCTTTGTGTTCCCACCGCTGCGCTGGTGACCGAGGTGGGGAGCTCGGCTGGCGTCCCCAGGCCTGGACCACAGGTGGGACAGAGAGGAGGGGATGTGGGGCTGAGCGGTGGGAGGTTTGGCTCCATCAGCGAGTCCATATAGCCCATCAGCATGAAGGTGGGTCCTTCAAGGCGATGGGAAAGGCTCCCTGCTGCTCAGCTGTAGGCCAAGGTGGTCTTCACATCCTCCTACCTGGAGGCAGGAGCATCCAGGACGCAGGAGCCACATCTCCCCCGTAACATCCTACCCAAATCTTGAGGCCACCCCTGCAGACACACACCAGCTCCCCGCCGGACCCAAAGGGGTGCTCCTACCACAGCTCGGCTTGCAAGATACCAAAAAGCTCCCTGCCTTGGCAACACCCTTCCTCCCACACGCTGCCCTACAAAGCGCGAGGTCACGGGCTGGTGGGTGCCCTGGCCCAGTCCCACGCACCCTTCCCTGGGGCTGGAGCAGAGGGTCGGCCCCCGGTGCTGGGACGGTAGTGGGTGCGGGCAGCGCTCTGGCAGACGGCTGGTAAAAGCCGCGGGCCTGGCTGCAGGCAGGGCTGGCACCCACACTGGCATCCCCACCTGCCCCATGGCAGGACCCCACTGTCCCTGGGGACGCCTGACACCTCTCCCCTGGGGGGGACTCCCGGTGTTGCTGCACCTCGGGGTGCTTGTAGCTGCCAGGGCACAATTGGGCCAGGGCTTGGC